ACGATGAACTGCCTGGTGTGAAAATTTGCAATGATGGTTTGTTGCAATCTATAATTAATGGGACTGTGTTGGGGGCAGAAAAAGTATGTGAGGTAGGTTGTTTGAATGGGGTAAAAGTGATAGTAGGGGAAGAGTCGTGGGTAGAGGAAATGGGTAGATTGCAGAGGGTGGTTGAGGATGTACTGACTCAGGGCTTTTTAAGAAGTATTAGTGGGCTGGAGAAGGAAGGCCCAGCGTTAATTTGGAGGTTGTGTTAAATGAGGCCCATTGGGAATATTAGGTAAGAATGGGGATGACCTAACTGTTACGGGTAGTTGGATACACTCTGTTGGGGCCGGTTTCAAAATAGTGGATCTACAGGTTGGCTTAAGCAAGGATAAGGGTAAACAAGGGAGGGTGGAGGCTAGTAAGGCTAGGAGAAGATCAACAGTAATAAAGGGTGTACAGAGGATAAGAAGGTTTGGCTCAGGGTACTCCATGTAGTTTCTTGAGAGAAATTGTTTTCCGAGTTGTGGCTACTGCATTGTTTGTCTCCTCATCCTAGAAGGTTGAGACTACTTATAGGAATTTGCTATTTAATGAAGCTCAAGCTACGGTGCATGTAGGAAAGATGTTGGGAATGAACTGTATGGGTAATGAGGCAGAGATTATTAATCACATTGTGGAGATGGAAGGTAAGGATCAGGGCCATGTTGGTAATGGTGGAAGGGAAGTCCTAGTTTGAGTGGGTATCTGAAGGGGGGTTTTGGTGCTATTTGTTATGCTTATGAAGTTGATGTGTTGGAATATTAGGGGATTGAGGAGAAACAACAAAAGGGTGAAGATTAAGAAGCTGGTCAAAGAGAGAAATATTGATATTCTTCTATTGCAAGAGTCTAAGAGGAGTAGTGTGGATGAGAGATTTGTGAAGTCATTGTGGCGCTGAGAGTCTTTGCAATTTATGGCAGTGGACTCGGAGGGTAGTGCAGAGGGATTATTATGTGTTTGGAATCCAGATGTTTTCAACCTTGTAGAGTGTTCCGGTGCTACGTCTTTCATTCTACTATCAGGTACGTATAATGAGTCATTTGGGTGTCTGGTAATCAACATATATGCACCAAGTGATAGTAGACAAAGAGGTCAGTTATGAGAAGTATTACTTAGGTTGAAGACATCTTTTCAACAACCTTGGTGTATTGGGGGGGGGATTTTAATGAAATTAGATGTTTGGGTGAGAGAAAGGGTTGTTTGCGTTGTGATGGAGGCATGTTTGAATTTAATGAGTTCATAGAGAAAATGGAGTTGTGTGATCTGTCTCTGTTAGGAAGGAGCTTTACTTGGTGTAACTCTATTGAAGGTGAGAGATGGAGAAGGATTGATCGGTATGTGTTAGATCCTGAATGGTTGGACGTGTTTCGGCTTAAGCAATGGGGATTGCCAAGAAGTGTGTCTGATCATTGTCCTTTATTGCTCAAGGAAGATGAAAGAAATTGGGGACCTAGACCATTTAGGTTTTTAAATGCCTGGTTCCTTCATCCAGATTTTAAGTCAATAGTTAAGAAGTCTTGGGAAGAGGTAAATGTTTTTGGGTGGACAGGGTATAAATTAAAAGGTAAATTGGCAAAGCACAAGTCGAATCTCAAAAACTGGAATATGGAAGTCTTTGGTAATGTAGAGCATCAGTTAAAAGCAGTACAAGAGGAGTTACATGAGATTGATTTGTTAGCTAAAGATAGGCCGTTGCTGGACATTGTCAATGTGAAAAGACGTGAGTTGAGATCTTTAGTTTGGAATTACAGTAGAAGGCTAGAATAGTTGTGGCGTCAGAAATCTAGGCTAAAGTGGGCTCAAGAAGGGGACAAAAACACACGATTCTTTTAGGTGGTGGCTAGTAGAAGGCAGAGTAAGAATGTGCTTGATTCCGTTGTTGTGGATGGGGTTAGAGTTGGGGACCTGAATTTGGTCAAATAAGTTGTGTTTAGGCATTTTAAAGATTTGTATTCTGAGGTGTAGAGAGGAAGACCAAAGTTAGATGGGCCATTTGTGACTATTGGTAGGGAAGGGGCTTCTGAGGAGTTAGTTGAGTTTTCTAAGGAAGGGGTGTGGACTGTTGTGTGAAGGAATGTGACAGAAACAAAGCTCCAGAGCTTGATGGGTTTAATCTAGCATGTATTCAGAAAAATTGGAAAATTATGAAGAATGAGGTTATGCAATTCATGCAAGAGTTCTATTCGAATGGGAAATTGGACAAAGGGTTGAACAACTCATTCATTGCTTTAGTGCCTAAAAAGGAGAATGATGTGGAGTTGCGGGATTTTAGGCAGATTAGCTTAGTGAACTCAATTTACAAAATTTTGGCCAAGGTCCTATCTAGGAGGTTGAAAAAGGTGATCCCTACAGTGATCAATGAGGCTCAGACAGCGTTTATAGGGGCTCGATGTATCTTAGATGGGGTCATGATTGCAAATGATGTTATTAAATGGCGGAAATGCTCAAAGAGTAAAGGGGTGATGTTGAAGATTGATTTTGAGAATGCATATGACTCTGTGAATTGGGATTTTTTGTTTTCAATGTTACGTAATTTTGGATTTGATGAGAAGTGGCTATGTTGGATTAAGGAGTGTTTAACCTCTTCCAGGATCTCTGTTCTGGTTAATGGATCACCCATGGATGAGTTTGTACCACAAAGGGGACTTAGGCCAAGTGATCCACTATCACCATTCTTATTTAATATTGTGGTTGAGGGTTTTAATTTGCTTCTAAATAGAGTTAAGCAACTGGGATTGTTTAAGGGTGTTACAGTGGGATCTACTAACATGAACATTTCACATCTGCAGTTTGCAGATGATATAACTATTTTTTGCGAAGCTGAAGTTTTGGAGTTGCTTTCAATTAAAAGGGTCTTAAGGTGTTTTGAAGTTATATCGGGTCTCAAAATAAATTTCCACAAAAGTATTGTCTGTGGGGTGGGTCTTTCAGCTAGTGAGGTAACTAATTTAAGTACTGTGTTGAATTGCAAAAATTAGAAGTTGCCATTGATGTATTTGGGCCTTCCTTTAGGAGCTAATCCGAAAAAGAAGTCTACTTGGCAGCCAGTGGTTGATAAAGTGAGGAAGAAGTTGTCTCTTTGGAAGAGAAAGTTGTTGTCTTTTGCAGGATGGTTAACGTTGATCAAGTCAGTTGTGTCCTGTTTACCATTATATTATATTTTGGTTTTTAAGATGCCTAAGGGAGTGGTTAGGTTGATTGAAAAATTACAAGCTACATTTCTTTTTTTGGGGGGTAGGGGTAATGAGTTGAGGAGAAAAGTCCATTTAGTAAAATGGCAGGAGCTAACTAAGTCTAAAAGCCAAGGTGGTTTAGGGGTTAGTAGTATAACAGATATGAATGTTTGTTTACTGTTAAAGTGGTGGTAGAGGTTTGGTGCAGAAGATAGGGCACTGTGGAAGTCAGTAATTTGTAGTATTTATGAGAGGGTTGGTGGGGGGTGGTGCCCAGAGTTGGGGGTTATAAGGAGAGTGTCTCTAATTTGGCAAGGGATTCTTGATATTACTCAGGTTAATCCTTAGTTACTTGAGTTTTATTTTGATAATGTAAGGGTAAAGGTCGAGAATGGGGAGAGAGTGAAATTTTGGACTGATAAATAGTGCAAAAACAGGATGCTCAATGAGGAGTTTCCAAGGCTGTTCAGTCTTTGGGAAGATAGGGATAGCTCTGTTATGCAGTTTAGGCAAAGAAGGGGGAGTTCAGGGGATTGGAATTTACGGTTCAGAAGACAGCTTAGAGTGTGGGAGGAAGAAGAGGTAACTTGACTCCATACCTGGTTGATTGATGTCCCTATCAATAATAGGCAAATGGATGACTATTTGTCATGGGAGTTGAATGCATTGGGTCAGTTCACAGTGTCCTCAGTTCGAATGTGGCTACAAGCAGTTAGGGGCCCTGACTTGTGCATTGCCAAATGGTTGTGGCAGGTTGCTGTACCTCCAAAATTGCAGTTTTTCAGGTGGTTAGTGTGGCGGGGCAGAGTCAAAACAACAGATTTCCTTCATCAGATTAGGTTGTTTAATGTTAATGATAGTATTCTGTGCGTTTTCTGCAAAAATGAAGTGGAATCAGTCAATCATGGTCTCATTCACTGCCCACTCGTTTGGAAAGTGTGGACTGGTATGTTGAGTTGGTGGGATGTGTGTTGGATAATTCCGGGTTCTGTCGAAGCTCTGTTACAATGGTGGACTGGGGCTAGCTTCATGAAGAAAGTTATGTGCATCTGGAAGATTGTGCCATTGGTTGTATTGTGGTCAATATGGAAATTACGGAATGAGATTGTTTTCAATCAAGGGTAGGAAAACTTTGTTGATTTGGAGGAAGTTGTAAATTAAGAGTAGCTTTTTGGGCCAAGAGTTGTGTGGCAGGTTTGCAATACTCTGTGCATGACTTTTTGTGCAATTTTCAGCAGATTAGTTTGTGCTTGTAAGGGGAAGTCCAGCTGCTGCTGTTGGTTAAGTAGGTCTTCCTCAATTTTAATTAATTAATTATTGTGCTTGCAAGGGGAAGTCCAGCTGCTGCTGTTGGTTGGGTAGTAGCTGTAGCAGTCATGGGTTTTAACTTCTATGATGTTGCTGATAGCTGTTATTAGCTTTTCCTACTGTGGAGTTGTTTTCGGTGTTAGGTGGTTATGTGCAGTTAGGGGGCTAGAATGCATTTGGGGATGTTCTATTTTTTTTCTTATGTTTCTTCTTCTTCTTTTCTGGCTATTTGATTGGTCGCTCACCAATCCTGGGCTATGTACTGGCATATGATAGGGCTTGCTTTTGGTGCCAACCTAGTTGGGATCTTTGAGTCTAGCTCTGACGCTCTTTGCACCTCCCTTCTTTTTTGATGTAAGCTCTTTGTATCCTATAGCTTTATCATTAATAAAGTTTTCTTTTGTTGATAAAAAAAAAAATCATTGTTCAAAATAAAACAACTCAAAAAAGTAAAAACGCTTGCAATCAGTAGCCTATATGAAAGAGAGTCTCTCAAAGCCCGAGATCATCTGGTAGTGAAACATTATTGAGGATTTCAGAAATTGTCGCCCCGGCAAGGACTCTGCCTAGCCATCGTCGAAAGCTCCCCAAGTTGTTTACACGCTCAGGCTGTCCTTGCACTTGCACTGGATAGTACGGGCTGTATCCGTACTCGTACACATATCCATACCCAGGTTTAGGAGGTGGAGGTGGGTATCCGTAACTACCCGGTGGCAGTCGTAATGGTCCCATCACCATCATCGGGGCTGGAGGGAGATATGGTAGATATTGCCCAGTTGTTGCAGCTGCCCCATATAGCAGTGGAAGAGGAGGATAACGAGCAGTGAAGGTAGGCGGCGGAGGAGGAGATGGAGTCAACACCGCTCCGACAACTTGCTCACCAACCCACTCGTACATGAAATTAAGCGCACCCTTGGGATTTCTAGACAGGGTTCGAACATGATAGGTCAGACTACCTTCGATCGGCCCCATCTGGTCTTTAACCTTCACAAACGTTTCTCAGATGTCTTTATCACCCTCGTTTGGCTTGCAACAACGGAGTTCGAACGACAGGATCTGGTCCTCCGCTAACTCATTTTCCACAATGAAATTCATGGTACCGTTCCAGGTCGGGTTCGTGCCCTCGACTCTGTCCACCACGGTCTTCTGCTTGCCACTGTCGGAGATCAAGATGTAGGCATAGGCCTCCATCTTGTTCTCGGAAAGCTTCACTCACTTGAGGCTTTTCGCTGAAATGGACTTGATCGGTAGACTGCGATAATATTTCGCCATATGAATTCTTCTCAGTTTCTCAACTCAAACACAAATGAAACACTAAAATGGGAGATCTGAGAGAGAGAAAGAGAGAGAGAGAGAGAGAGAAAGGGGAATGGAATGGAGTAGGGGACTAGAGGAGTATATTAGTGACACCGAAGCAAGAAAAAGTGACCTTTGTCTAGTATTGAATCACAAGTTATTCGCCGCGGCATGGACATAGTCATGCGGTACCACAAAATCAAATATGATTGATGAAAAAAGTGTGGCAGAAGATTATGACAATTGTAATTGATTGGTAGTGATCACGCAGTGCTTCTAACACACCAAATTATTTTCCGTATGGACTAATACATAAGCTAGGGTTACGGAATTTCGCTTTCTCATTAAGCTTCTTATTTCTCCATTACAAATTAGATTATTATGGTTCCCGTTTGGGATAAAAGTTGGAGCTAAAATAGTCATATAGGATAAATTAGGTTATATTTAGTCAAATATGACAAAATGTTACATCCAACCCATAATCATTTCATTTTTTCTCTCACAAAAGTCAAAAAAGCTAAAAAGTATATCCCAAACGAGACTTTTTAGCCTCGGCCTAAAATAATTAAAAAGTAAAAAAGTCAACTGACATTTGAAATGAACTCTATGTGGGTGTTTGGGAAGTTGCTATTTTAGTATGCTATTCTAGTTTTTGGCAATTTTAGGAGGCTAAAATTTTTGTGTTTGGGAAGATAGTTGGATTTTTTTATATTTGGATGTGATATTTATGAGAGAAAAAGTGAAATGATTATGGGTTTGATGTGACATTTTGTCTTATTGACTATTTTAGCCTATTTTGTTTTTTAGTACTATTTTAACTAAAAAAAGCTCTTCCCAAACACATGTGAGTAGTTGTCAAAAATTAAAATAAAAGAAAAGGTTAGTAATTTAGTTAGTAACTTTAGTATAACCGAAAAGTTAGTAAAAGTGCTACTAGTTATATACGGAAATTTTCTTGGGGAATTTTTTTTATCAACAAAATAAAAGATTTATTGATGATAAAAATAAAGTACATGAAAAATTACATTAACAAAACAGGGAAGTGTACTAAGTATCATAACAAACCTCTGCAATCCCAACTAGGTTGGCACCGCAAAAGAAGTACAATCATTTACAAGCACTTAACCCAAAATTGGTGAAAAGTCAGTCAAGAGAAACCAAAAGCCAAAAAACAGAACAACAACACAGTTGAGATAAGAGCATTCAAGGTCTAAACCAAATCTATTTAGATCTCGTCAAACTTTTTTTCGCGACGAAAACATTCAATGTCTAAACCAAATCTATTTAGATCTCGTCAATCAAGGCACGCAGAGTCCCCACTTTTCGCTCTCGTAAGGGCAAGGAAGACTTTTTTTTCATTAGGATACGTTAGGAAGGTTGTTCAAAGAGTCAAATGATTGGTTAATGGTTTTCACGCAATTTTTGTGTCTTTGGTTGTAGATGAGCCAGTAAATGCATTTTGGTAAGAGACCTAGAGAAGCTGAGAATGAAATAGAATAACGAGGGGGGCTTATGCTTAAAGCACCTTTCCTGTTCGGCGGTTAAGTGCGAGGTTAAGTAGCTTTGACATATGGGAGATTTATTCCGAGAACACGATGACCAGATAAGAAGTGGTTATAGGTGGAGGTGCAACAATGAAAAATAATGTGTATATTTCTAGAGTTTTTTTTTTCCCCCTTCGAAAAGCGATTTTATAGTGATTTTTTATATGGTTAAATTTTTATTTTTATTTTTATTTTTTTAAGTGACTACAAGTTATGTTCATAAGTGTGATTTTAGAGTGTTTTAGAAGTGGGAAATTTTTATTTTTTTTAACATTAAAACTAAATCAATTAAACGTAGAATTAAGGAATGAAAAATTAACTTAGACATATAAAAAATAAATGTTTCAAGACGACAACCAAAGTCTTGATTTTGTTGATTTTAATCCCTCTTACGTTTACCATTTTGATTTTCATCAATAAAATTTCACTTTTGTTAAAAAAGAGGGGGGCAGTTACATGACAATCGTATTGTCTCAAAATAATTACAAATTCATGGAAAAGTTTATAAAATTTACCTCAAATCTGTAATTATTTTTCCAAAGGAGAACTGGTTTGTTATTTCTCCAAAAAAACAAAAGAAAGAGAAAAAAAAATTATTTCTCCAAAAAAAACTAAGTTGTTTCTTTTGTATAATTGTATAGAAATACATATATACATATATATATATATATATTTTAATCAGTAAAAAAAGGAACTTTATTGATGAAAATCAATCATAGCAGATGAAATTACATTAATAAAGAGGAGGTGAGAGCACAAACAGATAGAAGCTCAAGCCAAACTAGTTAGTGATGAACCAACAAAAGAATAAATCACCAAGAATAAGAACAAGACACTGCCCACAATCCCCCAGAGCAGCCCCACACCACCATAGCAGCATCCAGCAACAACTCTGCCAGCAAAATAACAAAACAGCACTGCCATTGAAGCCCCCAGAAATACCAAACCTCCATTGAAGCGCCTAGAAAATCAAAACCCATTGAAGCTTCCCAGAAACAGCACTAGCAGTAGCAATGCCCATAGTAACCTGCAACCAATCATTAATAACTAAACACTGCACCTAACCTACTGGACATTATTGATAATCTCTTACATGGTGTAACAACACCCTTTAGAATGAGCTTCCCAAAGGGCAATTCTAATCTTGATCAATTCACATACCTCTCCAAATGCACTTGTTTCCCGTTGAACACCGCCTCATTCCTAAGCTTCCATAATGACCACGTGACTGCCAATGGCACAGCCCTCCAAATCAAGTTTGCAATTTTTCTCCATTTGAGACCCCTCCACTTAGGGGTGGTCACGGTTCAATTTTGAACGGTTCGGTTTGCAGTTTGAACCCGCTCGCATATGTGCGGTTTGAGAAAAATTGAACCCGCAACCGCCCGTAGTGCAGGTTACGGTTTGTGCGGATAAGGTTCGTGAATGTGCGGTCGGTTATGGGTGGTTTGTGAATTGGATTTTTTTTCTTTAAAATTTTATTTTTAGGCCTTTTTTTTCCCGTTTTGTAAATATTTATTTTGAGCTCTTTTCCCCCCATTTTCTAAAGTACTGAACATTAATAATTAATGAATTAAAACTTTTAAAATTAAAAATACAACAAAATTAATTATTAACACAAGCAAATCATTCAAAATCCTAAACTTTCAAATAAAATCATAAACTAATGCAAGCACATCTTTCAAAATCCTAAACTAAATCATCAAAATCATTCACTACCCAACAATACAATTAAAGTAAAATCATTCAAAATCCAAAAATATCTAGGATATGATGAACGAAATCAATGGTCCACGTTAAAAAAAAAATTTCTAAGTGCGGGCGAGTTGTTGTGGGTACGGGTAAAACCCGCAATAATGCCATATTCCAAATCGCATCCGCTTGTATTGTGTCTACGAAATTACCTATTTGTATGCAAATCGGTTCGGATTGGGTAGGTTGTATGGTTCGAATAACCCTATGCTTAGCCCTATCTCCACTAGTGTAGAAGTCTTTCCATATTTCGAGATACAACCCATTGCATCCCCCACCAATCCGTCAGACTTGACCATACTCTCTAAGCAAAAGGACACCAAAGCAACATATGGGGTATTGATTCCAAACCCATCTTACGAAAAACACACAAAAGAGAGGCATCCGAACCAAGCACCCCAATTCTTTTTAGAAAAGTAGAAGTCTTAAGTCTCCCCTTTCAAGCCAACCACCCAAGAAATTGCACTTTTGGGGGAGACACATTGTTCCACAGAAGTTTAGTGGCCAAAAGGGGGAAGGAAGGCATAGACATAGAATAAATACAAGAAACACTAAACTGACCTGATGAATTTGCTTCCCACTTTAGGCAATCATCCCTTTCTAATATACCAACCGTAGTAGCATTCAGAAAAGTAACTAAACTATCAAACTCATTTCACTCCCAACCCAATAAGGCTCTTCTATACCTGAAATTCCAATCTATGTGAGTCTCTTTCCTCTCCACCAACACTCTAAGAGAGATATCATTTTTTGTTGATAAGCTAAAGAGCCTTGGATAAGCATTCTTAACACATAGATCACGGACCTAATTGTCATTCCAACAATGGACCATGTTATCATTTCCCACAACAACCTTAGTATTTTCCATAAAAATATTGAAGAGTTGAGAATTTAATTGACTAACATTGAGAATACCACCCCAGATTTTTTAGTAGTGCCCAATATCAACTGAAAAATGATGCCACTTCCCACCATTTGAAGGATACTTGTTGCATAGTACTCTTTTCCGAAAGGAACTATCCTCATACCCAAATCGCCACCACCATTTGGCCCGCAAACAATCATTCACCTCTTGAACTCTTCTAATACTCAGACCCCTGTTCTCTTTGCTCTTAGTTGCCTCAGTTCATTTAACAAGATGAACCTTTCTCTTTAGATCTGACCACTCCCCCTCCTCCCTCCCCCGAGAAAGTTTGCTTGGATTCTATCAAATGCCTTAGCAACATATGAGGGCATTTTGAAAATAGTCAAACAGAAAGTGGGCAAGCTGGACAACACAAACTTTATGAGAGTTAACCTCCCTCCAAATGACAGAAGTTTCTTCTTCCAAGAGGCTAGGCTGGCACTACACTTATCAAGAAATATATGTAGTATAGATAT